TATATATATATTAATTAAAACACAATTTACTCGCGTGCGGCGACGCGACAAAATGGGTGTCCTCCCCGAGCAAAATCGACGTTCCGGACGCGCCGGTGCAGTCTGTTTTGTCATCCGGGGTCGCTCGGACGACGTCGTCGACAATCGGGTCAAAAACGTGTCGAAATTCAAATTTCCCAAAATTTCGACCCGCGATCGATCGTTTCAAAAGGTTTACTTGAGCATTCGACAGGTAACAGTGCAGGCAATGCGAATTGCGGCGGTCGGACACGTCGACTCTCCGAATTGCGAAGCTTATGCGCGCGGGAGTGTGAATTGTGCAGAAGGCCACCTTTTTGGGTTTCCTCATGTCGGTTTCATTCTTTTAAGTGCTAGAAGTCGATACCACACACGCGAAACTCCAAAAGAGGACGAAAGTAGGTCGAACTAAAACGAGGCGGGTCCCACTTCTAAGGTTCTAAGATAGTCGCAGGAAGACCCCTAAGGCTAGATCCTAACTCCTACGAGAAATACTAGACCTCACGAAAAATGAGGTCAACAGCGGTATAAATATTTTTATCTCAATTCAAAAAAAAAAATTTTTTACCATGAATCTCACTTTAGTTGAATTATAACTTTTTTTCACCTCATCTTCCAGGGAAGGAACAAAACAAAGATGTGAATATCAAGTTTTAGGATTTTCTTCAAATCAAAGACTCACAAAATAGTTTTTCCCAAACCTTGATCGTTCAACTTGAAAACCCAAGCAATGTTATATTAAGAGAAAGTGTGTTAAGTCCTTTAAATATTGCAAACAATTCAAGTTTTCCTATGGTGTAATCTCATGATGTTCATAATGAAGAAAAAACAGGAAAAATAACTGACAGTGCTATCATTTGATATTCTCTACTTGCGGCAGAGGACAACTCAAATGAAAGGGCCTACAAATTCTTTGCATCGCCCAAAATCCGCGAACCCTCCATGTAATGTCCTCATTAATCCTTTACCCCATGTTCAATCCACTTCATTTTCAAATCCCAAGTCTTCTAGTCCTGAACTCGGGCCTTGTTCAAATCCTTAGTCTAATGACTCTAGCCTTCCCATTATTGCTTGTAAAGGGGGAAATGTCTTGCCCTAATATTTATTATCCAATTATGTGTCATATGGAAATCTCTCACCTGCTTTTCATGTGTTTACCTCACAATTGTCTTGTATGAAGATTAATAGTATTGTGCATCATGCTTTAAATGTCTCTAAATGGAGAGAGGTTGTATTCAAGGAGATGAAAGCTCTTGAAAAAATGACACATGAGAATTGATTGATCTACCTAGAAGAAAGACAACTGTTGGGTGCAAATGTGTGCTCTCAATCAAATATAATTCTGATGACTCTCTAGAACGGTATAAGGCTCGACTATTTGCCAAAGAGTTCACTCAAATATATGTGTTTGATTATTTAGAAGAATTCACCCTAGTCACAAACATAAATTATGTAAGTTTTCTTCTATTATTTGCAACTAATCTTGATTGACCCCTAAACCAGTTGGATATAAAAAACGCATTCTTTAATGGGGACTTGGAGAAAGAAGTGTATATGGATACATCTCCGAGATTTAATGAGAAGTTCGGCACAATGATATGTAAACTTTAAAAAATCCATATACAGATTGAAACAGTCACAAAGAAACAGTGATTGAGGGCGTGGTTTGAGAAATTTATTATGTTTGCTAAAGGTCAATGATGTACTCAACGGTTCAAAGATCATACAATATTTTTAAGACATTTAAATGATTGTAAAAGAGTCATACAGATTGTGTATGTTGACAATATAATTCTCACTGGAGATTATGTATATGAGGTGAACCGTTTGAAGGCTTCTCCCTCATCAGTTTTTGAGACTAAGGACTTGGGATCTTGTTACGTCAGTCTTTAAGGGTAATTTAGTTTTTTTATGCGCCTAAAGGCAATTTTATTATTTGTTATTTATTATTGTTTAGTATAAAAATGACTAATATATTTATGGTTGAGGTTTTGCATGAGATTGTGGTTGTGAATCTTAGTGTTAGGATTTGGGAGAGATTTTCTACCTCTCTAATTATAGAATTTAGAAGAGATCGCGGATTTGGGAGAGATTTCCTACCTCTCTAATTATAGAATTTAGAAGAGATCGCCTACCTTTCAAATTATAGGTGCTTATCTTTTTACATTCGGAATCATATTGTTTCAATTTGTTTTTTATGAAATATAATATATTATTTTATGCCCTAATTTATGTGAGAAATTGCTATGATTTGTATCAAATTATTATCAGAACAAGATTTATGGTAAACAAATGATGGTGAAGCTGACAACTACTGCCTGAGAATAAACCAACTGGATCGTTGCCTACACCCTAGCGATACAGTCTCGATTAGAGCAAGCGAGCAGTACAACCACGATTTGAGCAAGTTGAGAACCAATGACAAAATCGTAGTCTAAAGGTATTGCGTCGAACCCACATATAGGAATTCGACTCATGGCTTCCTGGAGTTCTGCATAGCTCCCAATAGTTCCGTGTTGAACCGCGCACAAGAATTTTGGGACTGTTGCTTCCAGAGTTCCATGCACATCGAACTTGCGTACAAAAATTTTGAACCTCGCGATATAGTTGTGAGCTAGCCAACGATGGGATTGTGGCGTACAGGTTGTTTCCTTCATGATCAAAGACCGTTATGGGAGGAATATCGAACTAGAAAATTCGGTGGTGGCCGGGAGTGTACAACACACTTGAAAGTTTGTAAGAGGACATCTTGATGGAATGTTAGTACTGATCTATTTTCTACTTGAGAACTTCACACTAAACTGGTTAAGTTTTGATTGAACTTCTTGAAATCAATCACAAATTAAAAAAAAAAAAATTGAATTTAAAAGACTTTGGTTGAAACTTATAAATTAATTGAAGCATAATACATGATACAAGCTTTCAATCCCGATTTATAGAAATATGATTATAAGGTTAATATTTCATTCATTGATCATCAATGCATAATACAAGCCATTTTATCATAAGTTAAATAATCAATCATCAATTATCAATGCACAATACATGACAGGAATCTCTGTTTATAGAGATATAATTATATGGATAAGATCAAATTTTAAACTCTAATCTAAACCTATCAAAATATTTTAATTGCGTGCTTTTATCCAAAGAAGATAACTGAACCTAACAAAATAAATCAAATTTAAAATGCTAGAAATTCAACCATAAATAGAAGTAGTCATTAAAAGTTTGAAAATTTGTCTGGTCCAACTATAGTTCGTCTCATCTCCTTTTGATTGGCCAATGGAAGTTTGGTACTATCTGTATTAAACTAGTTTATTTGTACTGAATCAAAAAATGTACTGGTGTGGGAGCGTGCAACAAACTCAAACGTTTGCCAATGGAGTTCTAGATGAAACTCAGATAGTTTTTTATTAGCTACTCTAAAGTTTTCTGCTAAAACTGTAATCTTGTTGAGGCTTAATCGAAAGTTCTGAAAACAACCACAAATAATAATAAAAAAAAAAGTCAAGTCTGGAATGGTCTCGGCTGAACCTGATTTGAAGGCCTTGAAGCTAATCTATTTTTACTGTCTTAAAATCTTAAAATATTTGAGTTTTCCTTAGTGTCCCATTGGTTATTGCTTTTCCAACCAAAATAGAAGGATGGTATTCAATTATATGATTAAGTTTAATATCACTCTTTTTCCATGCAAAACTCTCATCTAAAAAATACCTGCCCAGATTTGCGCCATTTTAAACTCAATTGCCTTCCAAATATTATAAATGTTGTGCAATATGGTGAGACATAGAGTAATCATTGTGTCTAATTGTAAAGTTTGAATATCTTTTTGCATTAAACAAGATTTTAAAAGTAGAAGCAATTTACTTTTTTTGCACAACTTTGGTCCTATTGTCTTTCTATTTTAATTGTTTAAAACACGCAGATCAATGCAATCTTGAACTCAAGAAGAATTTTAATTGTATCATTCATCTGAATATTTTTATCTTAAGAGCAGTTAATGTAGCAGCCCTTTGTGTTAGAAACTTCATGGATTGTCCACGCTGATGTTTAGAAAGAAATCTTGAACTTCTATATTGTAATGTTTGGTTAATATGTGCAGCTATTGTAGTGTTGTTGATATTTTTTTAAAAAGAGTGGCTTTGTTCACGCATCTCATGTAAACTTATTGCTCAATGCAGTGAGACTTGCACCTGAAGAGGAGTCGCTAAAACTTACTGGGTTTGTGCATAATGCAGTTACATGTGTAGGCATGAAAACAGGCATTCCGGTAATTCAAACTCTTCCCATCTCTACATGACTGGAAGACTCATTTTTCCTTGCATCTCTACCGTGTCAAGCTTAAGTAGCTATTAGGATATTTCTGTGGCCTTTTTTATGAAATGCAAACCAAAAGTCAAAACCATCATTGAAAGGTATATTTTCTAGTGAATTTTTCTTTAACTTTTTCGGACAACATTCCTTTTCATGCCTTTGAATCACTGCAAAATAAGGGGTTTTATGCAGCTTTTATTTTGTTGTGGCAGTTTAATCTGAGCGGCATTTTTTATTGACACAGGTCTCTTGTCTGACCTGCGTTTATTATTAAATTAATGACTACTGTATTTTTTTTCTGTTTAATATTAAGCATCTCCAAAGTCCATAACGTGCTATTTTATCTTTGGTCTGTTTGTTTTTCTTTCTTAATTCTTTCACATCAAGCATAATAGTCTTACGGCTACACATTCTACCACTTGCTATTCATTTAACTTTGCTTTTTTATTATGTTATTTTTAATAAGTTTTGTTCATGCTATCTCTATAAATATTAATTTAATATATTTATTGCATTGTCGGCCAGTTATAATTTTTGGAAAAGGATGATTTTTTATAAAATATGAAAATAATTTTTGATGTAAATATGATTTTTTTAAAGTAACATTTTAATTTTAAAATAGATGAGACCAAACGAGTCACGCATTTTGGATAGTTTGGATGATTAAACACGATACCACAAGTAAAACACTTATCCCGAAGAATAAACATATCACTTGTAGTAGACTCAGTCATCTAGACTAAAGAATTTGTGACATTTGTTTAGTCTGTGAAATATTTTATATGGGCCAACAAGTTCCTTTACCTAATATAAAGATTAGATAAGTTTTTTTTTACCTGGGTTCCAACTGTTCCTTTACCTAATATAAAGATTAGATAAGTTTTATTTTACCTGGGTTCCAACTTCCCTATAGAGACAAACCCTTATAGTTAATTACATCTTAAATGACTGGGGTCACTTAAGAAAACTCTCGATTAAGATCAGTGGTTTTACCTTCCAGATTTCAAAGTTTAGATTTCCAAGATTGGACATTGGACATGGAAAAATCAAATGGGAGTAGCTTAAACAGGAACAATTATTTTAAGGAATCTAAAGGGGCGAAGAGTAGGGGATATCACAGATCCAGGGAGAACCCCGGTGGCCTCCCAACTATTCCTGTTGTTTGACTTTATGTCTTGGAAATAATGTTATTCAATGTTTAATTCTGCAATTTACTTTAAAATTTAGGACTTATGTTCGCACGATATCTGATTGTGCAAATAGCCTAAAAGATAAGAATGCAATTTACTTTAAAATTTAGGACTTATGTTCGCACGATATCTGATCGTGCAAATAGCCTAAAAAGATAAGAATATTTACACCGTACCGTACAGTAACCTCGAAATCCTAAAGTGTTAGGATTTATAATTGCACAACAGGGTTGTGCAAACCTAAAGGTGATATGTGAGGGTTTACGCTGCCCTAGGCAAACCACCTCAAAATCTTATGGATTGTTATTTAAACTAAAGAAAGTGATTAGTGATATGAATTTGTTTTGGCGTTACTCTTCTAAGTGTCCTCGTCGTGTTGCCTACGGTGTTCGCTCCAAACTCCTCATCGTATCACCTTCGGGTTTGATATTTATTGTTAAGTTTTTTCCTACACTAAGGTATAGTGTGTAACAGAACAATAAAACATGCAATAAAACAAGAAAAGAGCAGTAGAATGTGCGGCATAAAAGAGAAAGAATAGTACAGTATGTTGTGAAGTAAAATGCTTGTAATGTAAATCAAACCTGTATATTTTGGAGGTCTGTGGCTCCTTTATGCGAGCTAGTATTTACTATATAAATAAAAGAAATATTTCCTGAAAAACTCGAGAAAATCGACAAATGACCCATGACGGAAAACTCAGGAAAATCGACAAATGACAATTTCAAGAAAATTATCAAAATCACGGGAAGATCCCGAAAAAAGGACTGTGAGTGCTTTTCCAAAAAATTCCAATAAAGCATACGAAAAATCCGAAAAGAATGGACCGCAAACACTCGGGTCGGGGCTAGGCTCAAATATAATATATTTGTACTCGAGGGACGTCGAACGCTACTATCGGTCACCTGGATTTATAAATTCCGCCACTCAACTACAAGGGTGTTCTACTAAACCTAACTTAGGAGGGTACTCCTTAGCCCGGTGATCCCTAGATACTGCTAATATGCAAAGTACAACAATAATTCGGATTATATTTCACTTATATTTTCTTACTTTGCAACAAAACCAAAAAATTGATCCTGAAGAAAAATAAGAATTTAACTTTTAATTTATATATATTGGGATACTACGCAAATATATGTATCGTTATCAAGTAATATAGGGCTTTTTGATTAAGACCTGAATATCGAACCCACAGGAAATTTATACAATATGCACTTTTAGAATACTTCTATTTTTAAAAAGATAATTACTTAAACTGAATCTATTTTGCAGTAATAAAAATGTAAATATTTTTGGTATTTTTGATGTTTTGACAAAACAGTAACAACTTAAAAAGATAACTAGAGTTTTGTAGATGAAAAACGCTTAATAAGAAAAATATATTTCTTCTTATCATGAATCAGTAATAAGTATATAAACTTTGTTGTGGAAGTATGCAAATTATGTTGTGTTAAATATAAGCAATAATATTCTTTACCCTAACTATAATTGTTAGAAAGAACATTGACTAATTTAAAGTTTGAATAGTTCTGAAGACCGGCTAGGCAGAGAAAATACTAGCTCTTACTCTAGAGTTCCCTCGATTCCCTCCACCTGGGTGCTAACATCTCGTATCAGAACTTAAAATAATAAACCAAGTTGGGAGCTTTAACCTGTCACTTTAAAGTACTCTAACTCTATACCCTTCAATGAATATTTCCTTATTTATTTGCGCTCAATCATATGAACTATATTCTCTTTCATACAATCTCAGATGATTTTTTCTAATTTTTAACTGAGATAATATCAGTCCGGTTCTTACATGTTCTCACAATAAATTTTAACATCTGGATTGGTCAAATCAAGAAGTAAATGAAGTGCATAGATTTAAATCATCACAACTTCTTCCAACATTAAAGATCAATTATTTCTATAATTTCCATCCAAAACTTAATTACTTATCATTTTAAGAAGAAAGATAAAGAAAACTACTCATATTCATGGAGAAAATAAAATCACACTTTAGTTTAAATGTAGAAATCATTGTCAAACCAACAACAAGTCTCAATTAAAATCAAAAGTAGTCTCAAAGCAAAAAATAAAATTTTTTCTCAAGAAGTTCATCTATACAATCACTCAAAATAAACTAACAAAAAAGATAAAATAAAAGTAAAAGTGGTGCCTGAAAATCTCTCCGAACTAACTCCCCAAATGAGAACTTTCAACACTTTTCAAGTATTTTCAGGACCACACTTTTTCGAACTTTTTTAGGACTCTTTTCAAAGTCCTCTCTTCTTTCTTTTATAGTTTTTCAAGAGGTGCCTTGGAAACTCTTCAAAATGTGTCCCAATTCGATGTATTTCCCAAAGAGATGCATCCTTTCGTGATAATTTTCGTCCATGGTGGTTATAACCACCTATTAAGACAATGAGTGCCTCAAAAACCTCTTTAAAATTCACAAAAATCAACTTTACTCGTCTAGTTACTGCCACTGGCGCTTAAGTGCGGGACCTCTGACACTTAGGCGCGACCTTATCTGTTTAACCAGTGTTTAAGCGTCGGATATGGTGTTTTGGCGCCAAAGCTCATCTGCACATTTTTCACTTTTTTGCTCTAAATTTGATCTTTTTTCACTCCTTTAAGCATTTTTCATCTTTTTATTTGTATATGCAAGAAAAACACAAAAATACCTTCTATTAAAGCGCAATATCTCAAAAATAGATATAAAAATGTGTCTAAAAATACTATATATTTTAGGTGTATCACCCGGTACTGGTAATCAATAAGTGGACAATCAAGTTGTAATATTTTTTAAAAAAATTATATTTAGTATGCATGTGAATTCCAGACATACAAAAGGAAGTGTCAATTTTGTAGTAAAATATTTTTTTATAAATATTGTATTTATTCTTATCATGTTATGTCTTTATCAGTTTTTGAAAAATTACGATTCTCCACGAGTTGATTACGCCATCGGACGTAGGACCGCCAACAACCTAAGAAGGTACAGGTCCCCCGCTTGTCTTGTGTCGGTGAATGATACTGTCATCCTACAGTTTATCAGGTTCCAGGATTGGGTCCTGATGTCGTAGGATGGAATATCATTCTGTCATACCACCGACGTGCCTTTGTCATCATCGCCCTAAGCCCCAAAACAAAACTGACCTACTTGCGACCTTGCTTGATGGTTTCATATATAGCAAAAGACTATATATGGACATTTATGTGTCATACATAAGCACTAAAAACCGAACCAAGAAGCAAAGAAAAAAAAAATAAAAATGAGGATGAGAGAGAGGAGGAACTGATCCACCCAAAAGATCGAAGAGACAAAGGGTGAATCAACCCTCAAACTTATAACAAAAAAATCTGAAAAGGAGGGCCTAATATCATTGAATCAATCTAAGAAGAATATCATTTTCTCTAATCTTATAAATGGATCAACCCAAGAAGGGTGTCCCCTCCAAATCTTATTTCGAACAGGTCGAAACGGACCCGCATCAATATGATAATTGTATAAACAACTCCACCACTACCTACATATTCACACCCAAGCTTGTGACATTTATGTTATCTGAATTTTAATGTCAAGCCTCCAAACTCTTTCTGAATTACAATTTCATAAGTTTTCAAATCCTTTCATGGATCCAGTTCATACCAATTTTATACTTTCCCAAAATGAAGTTTTAAGAACCTTTCAAATTTTTCCAATTGAATCAAAGGAATATAATCCACAAATGACATCCTCAAAATTCCTAAAATCTTGTAAACAATAAAACCATCT